GCCAGATCGCCTCCCAGCTGTAGCAGCATCCACACCCCCGCATGCCCTCCCCAACCCACACGTGGCGCAGGAGGAACTCGGAGGAGGGGACTGTGGCCCGCCTTCATCCAGGACTGCTCCCCAGTGCGGGGCCGTCCACCCGCAGCGAGGGTCACTGCGGGAGCCCGTTGGGGGAGATTAAGCAGATCGCTTGACGTATACGTACACATATATAATATTACACGTAGGTACGTATATAATAGTATATATGGTATATAGTAACCTACATAATACTTCCTTAAAACTCTAGTTTAAACAGATGGCTACCTCCTCCTCACGGTCTTTCTGGGCAGAAACCATCCCGTTCTCCCGACAGCACCAGGCACTGAAGATGAAGTCCGCGAGCTGTTGGCACTCCCAAGTCTACTAAAGAGTGTGAACAGATTGGGGAATCCCCAGGCCAGGTGGGGTGGAGTTGCTGCAGGAAGAAGGGCGGGGTGTGGCACAACCCGGGCACCACTGCTGTGTCTCTCTCCCCCTTGGCTAAGGACAGTCTCTACCCGACACTTCACAGATTAATATTGTGGATTCAACAAACACGTATTGAACGCCTACTAAGTGTCACGCACTGTTCTGCCTAATCAAGACACCATAGTAACCAAAACAAAGATCCAGCTTCACTGAGTTGACAGTCTACTGGAAGGAGACATGCAAAAATAAGCATAGTAAACAAAGTAGTCGTAGAGTGAAAATTGCCATAGAAAGAAAGAAAACGGGGAGGAGTGGAAAGGGAATCCGGAGTGGGCGGGGGTCTTTTTCCCTTCGCAGAAGCAGGGAAATAATACCGCCCACATTTACGGTTCCCGCTATTTTCCAGGGGCTGTATTATGCCATTTCTACTGATACAGTAACGCCAAGAGGTAGCTGTTAAAATGGGGCTCAGAGAGGCCAAGGGCCTCACCCAAGTTCACCAGCAGCAAGTGATCAAGTGGAACTGAAATTCAGCTCTGCCCAGTGCCCAAGGCAAAGAACCTCAAGACCCTGCACACAGCCATCCCCCCTGAGCCACTGCTTGGTGCTTGGAGTCTCCATCTTGCCCACAGATGGGTCTCTGTCGCAGGAGAAGGTCTGTCCTCCCTCCCAGCACCACCTGCACCACTGTGACAATTTCTGTTGTGCCTCAAGGAACAGGCTATCAAGCACTGGCAGAGAATCAGAAAGAGCAGACTTGAGATGCCAGCTCCACTGGTACCTAGCTCCATGGACTTAGGGCCAGCGACTCCATCTCCCTGGTCTCTGTTTTCTCCTCCACAATCATCAGCAGAACAACACAGCACCCACCTCACAGGGTTGTTGGCAGGACAAAATGACACTGGTGTAATCTGTAAACTTTACGATGCTGTGTCAGTGCTAGCCGTTGGCCTCAGTGTTCCCACCTGTACAATGGGAGTGCATTCAGCTCTACAGTAACGCCATCAGCCCAGGGATTCCTTATATGAGCAATAGAAAAGCTGAGAAACACTATGTAAAACACACTATGGAGCCCAGTGACCTGGGTTCATAATCCCAGTTGTGTTACTGTGAGCCTCTTCATTTCCCTGCTGCTGTGAAACTGGGGCAGCGAAGATACAAATGGGATGAGTATTTACACCACTTTGCACAGAGGAGGAGCCTGGTAAATTCTAGCACTGTGAAAATTAGAAGAATATAGTAGGATAGCACATTAGTCCCTCTGCTTTGGCTTTTTCAGTTTAATGTCCTTTTTTTTAATATCTAAAGAAAACATGACCAAAAATGTGAACATTTGTTCATTCTAGGTGATAGATGCATGGATGCTTATTATATTATGATCTGTAGTTTGCTTATACCTGCACCCCAATGTTCACAGCAGCACTATTTATATAGCCAAGACATGGAAGCAACCTAAATGTTCACTGACAGATGACTGGATAAAGAAGATGTGGTGTATATATACTATGGAAAATTACTCAGCCATAAAAAAGAATAAAATAATGCCATTTGCAGTACCATGGATGGATATGGAGATCATCATTCTAAGTGATGTAAGTCAGAAAAAGAAAGAAAAATACCATATGATATCACTTGTGTGTGGAATCTAAAATATGATACAAATGAACTTATTTACAAAACAGAAATGACTCACAGACACAGAGAACAAACTTACGATTACCAGAGAGGAAGGGGAGATGAAGGGATAAGTTGGGATTTAGGATTTGCATATAGTAACTACTATATATAAAATAGATAAACAACAATGTTAATACTAGATGGCATAGGGAAATACATTCAATATCTTGTAATAACCTATAATAAAAATATGAAAAGGAATATATATGTATAACTGCACTGCACACCAGAAATTAACACAGCATTATAAACTGACTATACTTCAATAAAAAATGAAATTAAACTTTTAAAATAATAATAATTTTTCAAATTGGGTCTGGGTGATGGTGCCATCTTGTGGTCACAGTTATTATCTTGACTTTAAGACCTTTTGAGAAGTTCTGTGTGTTCACCTAAATTTGTCATTTCAGTCATGGAATAATATAGTCTTAAATATCCTTAACACCTCAGGGTAGAGAAGGACCTTCAAGGATGCTCAGTGTTTTCTTGATTACTTCTAGCTGTGGGTTGCTCTCTCCCTAGAGGAGAAGGCTGATGCCACAATGGGACAGCTAAGTCTTAGAAGTCCTCTGTGCCTGTCAGTACACAGAGGACCAAGGAGGACTCCTCATGACAGAGATGGAGAAATCGAGGTCCAGAGAGGTTGTGAGGCCTGCTTAGAGCTGCTTCCATAGGAAGCTGGGGCCAAGTGGTTAACTCCATGAGGGCAGGGATTTGTCTGTTCTGTTCACTGCTGATGCCTTAGCAAGTATTAGGCTGCCATAAATATATGTTCAATGAATGAATGAACAAAACCATCAGCCCAATCACCAGCTGTCATGGGCCTATCATTCAGTCTTAATTATTATTATTATAACAGCTGATATTCATTGAGGTCCTAGCATATGCCAGGCACTCTTCCAAGCTCTGTATTTACACTAATTCATGCAAAGATCACGACTCTGATAGTGAGGTGGTACAATCATGATTCCCCGACTTCCTAATGGGAAAACTGAGCCTCAGAGATCTTAAGTGACTTGCTCAAGATTATGCAGCTAGGCAGTGGCCCAGCCAGAATTTAAACCCAGGCAGATTGGAATTTCTCAGAGGCTCAAAGCAGGGGAGGAAACTAGATGGGAGTTATTGGCTCGATACCAGTGGCTCAAACAAGGTGGGGAAACTGGTACAAATTATCTGACCATCCGGAGATGGTCCAGCATAGACAGTGTGCATCAGTGTTTATCCCTTGTGAAGATTTTAAATTTCCTCCACCCTTGCAGGAGGTTTCGGGGGAAACAGTGGAGAGGGACCTGCGATTTTTTTCTGGGCTATCATGGTAGTTGTTTGAGATCCACGAAGAGAAAAATTGGCAGTCACTAATCCACATCTCACTGCCATTGGCAAGCTGGCCCCTCTAGTGATGCTTCTCTGTTCTCACAAATCTGGCTCTTCCCACTCGCTGATCCCACATCCAATCAGCAGCGCCTCTCCTCTGTGGCCCCGCCTCTCCTCTGTGGCCCCACCTCTCTGCTAGGGCCTTACCTCCCTACCCTCTGCCTGTCCCCACTCCATTCTGGCCTCCATCACCTCTTGCTTGGACTATTGCAGTCTCCAGCCTCTCTCTTCTCCTCCCACGAGGCTTCTTTTCATCTCACTGACATCGAGTTCTGTGCAGACACCTCCAGGGCTCTTACTGCAAAGAGACTGAAGTCTGAACTCAGGCTAGGATTCCAGGTCTGCCATCCAGCCACACCAACTCACCTTCCTGCTTCCTTTCCAACCAGCCTCAGATTAATTGCTTTATGTATCTATGGATTTATACCCTGCCTTGTTTCATACACAGGATATAAGCAGCTCCTGGTCAAGACTCATCCTGCCAAGACGATGCTCGGGTCTCAGACGATGCCAAGACACAGCCCCCAGGAAGTCCTTTATTTGGGCCTGGTCTCTGAGTCCTCCAAAGCCCCTGAGTTAGACCTCACCTCTAGCTATGCAGAATATATGTGAATATGGCCAGTCTGTCCCTGACAGACTAAGAGGTCACTGACGGGTTCTCTCCAACCCAGTTCCACGTCAAGGGGCACAGGCCACCCTAAAGAGTTGTGTCCTGCATGACTGCAGGAAGCGCCATCCTGTAGCTGGGCAGTACACAACCTACACAAGTGTGCAGGGCGTCCATGAGGGGAAGGTTTGGTACCCTGAGGAACTCACGTGTGTAGTACACAACTGCACCACTAGAGGACGCCAGATTGGAATCCCGGCACCGCCGCTTCCCAGCCTGGGAGACACTCCCAAAGCATAAAGGCCCTCAGTTCTCATTTGCAAAATGACGATCATCCATGGATTAGAAATAATATATGCAAACTGCCTGATATTGGTGGTTACAGCAATGTGTGCAAGGAATAAAGAGCATCATAGCTCTCACCCACACCACCAGCCCTGCCTCAGTGGAGAATCTGGGGGAGGGGGCCCACGCTCAGCTGCGTGCGGGGAACGGTACCAATCCCGTAGGGCCATTGTGAGGGGGAAAGGACTCCAGAGTTGCCAAGCAACCAGCCAGGCACATAGTAGGTAATTAACAAATGGCCATTACTAAGGTTATACCGGAAAGAATGATTCTGCCAGACTGCCTGTGTTCAAGCCCTGTTGGTGACATTTCTCACCCCTGGGCAAGTTACTTAACCCCTCTGCACTTGTGATGCCTCGTCTGTAAAATGAAGGCACTATATCCACCTTGCCAGGTGGTAGCGAGGATTAAGCGAGTTAATTTATGTAGAGTATTTAGCACAGCACGCACCTCACACAGCAACTTGTAACCACTAGTTTTGTCCATTTCCCCTTCTCCTGAAGCCAAGCCAGACTGGGTCCCTGTGAGGGCGAAGCAACGTCCTGGGGCAAGCCCAAGGGATTGAGGGCCAAAGTCAGAAAAGAGGTTCCAGAGGTCCCACCAAAATATACGAGAGGCCAGAAACACACCCAAGGAAGGAGGCAGGAGCTGGGGAACCAGGAGCCAGGGGGCCACAGCAAGGTGGGAAAGTGGGGGCCCCTAAGACGCAGGGAGGGCCTGCGGGCTGCACTGTCCGGTGTCTCTGATCTGGACTCGATGTGCAGCCTGACTCCCTCCCCTCGGGGAGCCCTGGGTCAGCAGAGCCACCCAGTGAGGAAGAGAACACGCGTTGAACGAGTTTATTCATGAGAAAACTCAGGGTCCATCAGGGAGACAATCTACTGGTTACAAGCTCCAGAAGCTCTTGTCGCAACAGCTGCGAGGGCCGTGGCGCCCCCAGGCAGGGGGCTGCTGGGCTGGCAGCAGCCCTGGGGACAGACAGGCAGATGCAGGCAGTTATGGGTGCTGCGGGGCCTTCCTCATTGCCCGCCTGCCCAGCCCTCCCTCCCCGGCCCCGCGCCCCTTCTAGGGCTAAAGTGCAGCTGGGGGAAGGGAGGCTGTGGGACTGGGCAGCTGGGGAGCCACAGGGAACACTGGCCACCCACACGTGCCCTCGCCCCTCCCCTTCCACGTTTCTTGAGGCTCAGCCAGAGTCCACCCCACCCAGTCCCTCCTGGCACCTCTAGGGAAGGGAGACTGCTCCCCACCATCAGATACTCAGAAAAAGCTTCCCAAGAGGGTAAGCTGAGCTCCAGCAGCTGTGAGGGGCCTAGAACTTGAGGGGAGGGGGAGACACCAAGATCTGGGAGAGGGCGAGGAGAGAGGGAGGCTCTTCTGGTCCAGGGGGTCAGCCCCTCCCCTTGGCCCAGCAGGGCTCCTCTTCCCCCGCTCCCTCCACCCCCTGGGCAGCCAAAGAAGCCGGAGGGCCTGGCTTCCAGCTCCAGGGCCATGAGTCAGCAGGGTCCTGCCCAGGCCTGACTCCCAACCACGCCATCAAGGGAGGGCCACCTCTGTGCCACCAGAAAGAAGTCACCCTGGGGATGGGGAGTGGGAGGCCTTGGGAGAAGCCTGTGGGGCCAGAGCTTTCTGCTTCTGCCAATGGTCCTCCCAGCGCTCCCTCGGGCTGCTGCGGTCAAGGTGCCCACCCTCAGCCTGGGGCCCAGCACCACCATCAGCACACCCAGGGCCCTGCCTCACCAGTGGCTGTGCAGGCCTTGGCCTGGCTCCCGCCATTTTGCACGGCCTCACCCCAATGCAGCAGCTTAGCCAACTGTCCCCCGTCCAAGGGCACACCTCTAGGAGGCAGAAAGGAAGAGAACCCCCCTCCGAAAAAGAATCCCGAAGACCTCTGCTTCTTCCCCCCAACTCTTGAATATATTAAATTGTGCAGCTTGGTGCCAGCCCCTCCCTTCCGATCTCCATGGCAACCGGGAAGCATTCCAAGTCCAAGTCTGAATCCAAGTCCATCCAGTGCCAAAGGGGGTGCTTCAGCCTCTCCCCCAACTCTTCCCTGGGAGGGTGAGACCCAGCATTCCACAGGGGATGAGAGGGGAGGAAGAGTTGGGGGCCTCAGTCCTCAGCCCCCTCTTCCTCCACATGGGGAACCCCCGGGGGATCCTCGGGGTCGGGGGTCTGCCCACCGGGGTGGGGATGGGGGCCAGGCTGGGAGCCCTGCGCGTCCTCGCCCTGCACGTAGACGCTCAGGCCCTCATGACTCGGCTCCTTGCCACACGCCTGGCAGCTGCAGTGCAAGATCTTCTCCACCAACTTGTCCACCCTGGGCACCTCCTCATGGCCAGGGCACTCCAAAGTCACCTGGGAGGGCAGGAGAGAAAGGGAGAGGTGTTTCCAAAGGCCTGGGGCAGCAAGGAGGCCCCAGGGTAACACTCCTCATGAGACCAAGAATCCCAGAGGCCCCAGAATCCTGAGCCCACCCAGGATGCCCCAGTGGGCTCTGTGGGCCCAGCGAGGGGTGGGGGCGTCCCTGCAGGAGCCACCAGACTTCCCTCCTCTCAGCCAATCTGCCAGCCTCTTCCATTCCCACGGCAGCCAGAGGGCACCTTGAAGGAAAACCCAACATGATCACCTCCTGCCTGAAATGCCCCCCAGGCCTCCCAACGCATCTGCGGAAAAATCCTGACTCCTGACTCAGGCCGCCTCTGGGGCAGATCTCTCCAACCCTGATCTCGTGCCACTCCTGCCAACTCTGCGCTGCCTGATCTGCCTGAGACTTTGCACACGCTGTTCCCTCTGCCTGGCGAGCCAGACCAGGCCTTGTGGGGCTGGCAAAGGTTTAGGTCTCATCCTATAACAATGGGAAGCCACTGAAAGAACTGCAGCGTGCGACTGACATCAGAATGGAGCTTCAGAAAAATCTCTAGTCCTGTATGTGTTGGTGTCAGACTTATAAGCCATCACGTGGCAAGGACCATGTCTGTCTGTCTCCCCGGCACAAGCCTCGACCTCCGCACACAGCAAGGCCTCCCTAAGCACTCGCGGCCAAGGTCAGCCCAGGTTCAGGGTGGAGGCTGGGCGGGAGCGGGCAGCGGTACTCACGATCTCCCACATGGACTGGGCCGGCATGCAGGAGTCGCAGTGCACCAGGGACTCCGTAGACTGCGGGAAGGTATTGGGAACGCTGTAGCTAAAGCACTGTCCCAGGCACGCCCTGTGGGAGGAGAGGCCACCGCATCCGTGTCACCGTGGCGGAGGCAGGAATGGGCCGCCCTGTCCGTGTCCTCATCTGCCCACCTGCCCTTCCCCCCAGATCCCACCTGTTCTGGATGGACTTGGCCTCACAGCCGCTGTGGCCCACGATCTGGGTGATGTTCTTGGCCTCGCACCAGGCACTCTTATCTGGGAACAATGCCAACTTGTTGATGGGCGGTGGAGCAGCCAGCAGCACAGCGGGGAGGACAGCCCCCACCAGGACCCGAAGCATCGTGCCCGTGGCCTCTGGAGCCCTAGAACTGAGAACAGACCACAGATGAGGCTGGCAGGGCCCAGGAGGCAGGGCAGAGGAGTAGGGGGCGGTGGTGTTACAAGCATGGGCTCTGACTCCCGATGGCCTGGGTTCAAATCTTGCCTCTACCACTTACTGTTCCAGGACAACCTTGGACAAGTTATTTCTCCAGTATGAACCTCAAAAGTGTAGCTGCTAACAGTACGAGCATCAGCTGGGTATCTTGAAGATTAAATAAGGCATCTCATGAAAAACCCTCAGCAGAGAGACAAGCAGATAATACACACTCCATGTTGTTAGTTATTTTCATAACTTACTATGTAGCTTTGAGCACATTACTTTTTATCTCTGTGCCTCAGTTTCTCCATCTAAAACACAATGGGGATACTGGGTGTGGCAATGGATTGTTGCAAGTACTAAACTAGACATTAAATTTCCAAAAAGATTTTTAAGTGTTGAACAATCATTAGCTCCCTCCTCACTGTGATGTTGTGGGTCCTTCCAACAGCACCTGCCCCCCAGGAGCTGGCCGGCCAGCCTGTCTCCTGGACATGCTGCCACTGTTGTCAGAACTGACATCAGGAAAGCTAACCTCTATCTTTATGTCACTGTGAATTCTTATGCCACCTTGGCTGGCTGCACCTCAGTGAAGGAACTAACTCTGAACCAGACTGTATTTCTCTTTTGGATGCCCAACCAGAGCCCCGAGTCCTGAGTCTACACACACTTCATCATCTCCAGCTCCTTCCTAATCCCTGAGTCAAAGAGGAGACAATCCAAGCCAAGGGCTTGAGCCTCTGTGAATCAGACGGAGCAAGGCACTAAGGCAATACCAGAACCAGCCAGGAGATGGCGCTGCAGGGCAGACTGTGTGTCAGAAGGCTTCAGCTCCGAGGGGATTTTCCCAATGTCCCCCAGTGTCATCTTCAGTAGGTTTTGCCACTTCCTCACCTCAAAAAGCGTAGAGGAGGGTAATTTCAGAGAGACCTGGAAATGAGGGCAACGCTCACAGGGGGCGTCCTCTGGAGTCAGAACCTTGGGGAAAAGGCACTGGACTGGGAGTCAGGAGTCTACCCACGCTGTGGGGCCCCAGACACTCTGGCCGGCCTCAGTGTCCCCACCTGTAGCATAAGTGAGGTGGTTTCCAAACCTGGGAGAGCATCAGAATCCCCTGGAGACTTGTGGAATGAACGTTCTAGGGCAGGATGAGATTCTGTGGGGTTTTGTTTTCTGTTTTTTTTACAATCTTCTATAATGGTTCAGATATACAGGTCAAGCTTGAGATCTGGTCCAGCTCAGTCAGACTAGGATTCTGGGCCTGGGGACAGTCCCCAGAGGGGCTGGATGGGGCTGAATTGGAAGCAAGGGCCAAGTATGGCTGCACTGGTCCCCCAGATGCCCAGTACCAGTCAGGCCAGCTCAGGGCTGGACATGCCACTGATCAGAACCACCCTACTCTCAGCCCACTTTTTGCTGAAAGCGGCAGGTACTTGGTCAAGCGTTGGGAAGTGGGAGGTGTTGGGGGGGGTCTTGCCCGCTCCTGCAGGCTAACTAGGTGGGCTGGCTCAGCCGGGCTGGCGGGGAAGGCCTGGGCCGGCCTGCAGGGCTGTGACCACCTCCATCCACAGCACTCCGCTCTGTCCAGCAAGTTCTCCTCATGGCCTGCCCCTCTTCCCTGCAGGAGGTCTCAGTCCCATCTCACAGGATCCCAATGCCTGGGTGACCCCCGCTCCCTGCTGGGCGGGGAGGGGAGAGGCGGGGAGACCAGTGGGAGGTGAGTCCAGACAGCCTGCGCCAGCCCAAGTGAGTCTGTGTCACGACCCAGGCTCTCACCCACGCACATCCGGTCTCGCTCACAAGATCGACAGCAAAGCCTGTGTTTTAAGTCCTAAGAAAATTGAATGGACTTGTTCCTAACTGGCAATCTAATTTTTCAACACACTTGGCATCCAGGAGGCTTCCTCACCCAACCAGGTCCTCTTTCGTCCCCAGGGAACCAGCCTCTGCCTCAGGGTCCGACCACAGCTCACCAGCAGAGGCCCTGGCGGCTCATCCAAGGCCACAGCTCCCTGGGCCCCCAGGCTAGACTGGCCCCCCTGGAGACCTCAAGGAGGTCTGGGGAATTTTGTCCTCCACCTGACCCCATCGTGACTCTTCAGGACGGCCAGGTCAGGTAGGGCCAGTGCAGCGACTGGGCCAGGGAGTGGGATTAGGTCTCCTCAGGATTGGGGACAGATACTGGGGCTCATTTGGGGCTGGGATTAGGGGAGGTCGGACCTGAGGCCATGGGCTCGGACCAGGCTCGGGGTAGGGGGAGAGCTGAGATAGGGCTGAGGTTATTAACAAGGCTTAGTGGGAGATGGGATAACGGTGAGTGTTTTAGGGGAGCCCTGGCCTGCAGGGTGAGGACTGGTTTCTGTGGGTCAGGCTGTAGCAGAAGTCAAGGAGAAATGAGATAAACAGAGGCAGAAGGCCACCTCCCTTACCTCCCTCCCTCTCCAGCACACGCCTAAAGGCCAGCTGGGCCCACAGAAGGGGTGCTGAACCCAAAATGCCAGGCCCCCCAAGCCCTGGCCAGGACCTCGAGGAGGGGCCGGGCCCCACTCATTTCCCCCAGCCAGTAGCCCTGAGCTCCTAAGTTCAAATCCCAGGCCTCCAGTCTAGGAGCTGTGTGACTTCAGAAGTCACCTCTCTGTGCCCACCCACCTCAGCCTGGACACAGGGAGCAGAGCACTTTCCCTGAGAAGGGCGGGGAGGGTGCAATGAAAGCACCCAGCACCCAGCAGGCGCCCAACTCAGGCCAGTTCTCTCCCCCCGCCCGGGGGATGACGGGAAGGCTGGGCAGGCATCAGAGCCAAAGCTGGACACTGGAGCAGGAGGCAGGGGGACGCCAGGCTGGTCACCTCCCACCCTCCCGCCGTCTCCAAGGAACCCTGCTGCCCCCCGCCCTTCGCAATGGAGTCAGTGCTTTGCCAGCAAGTTTTTTTTGTTGGCTTGTGTTTTGTTTTTTCAAGCAGAAGCTCAGCTGATTTTTTTTTCTGATCAAGCCATCAGATCTTCCTTCCTGAGACTGCAGAGCCTTACCCAGATTCTCACCCCTTCCTCCGCCCTGAAGGTCACACCACAAGTCATGGGATCCCCAGGATGCTGGAGCGGGAAGGGGATCCCCAGGCTAACCTCTAGCTCCTTGGAGCCTCGAGGAAGGTATGACAGCAGCCGTCCTCAGACTCATGGGGAGGCTGCAGTGAGGGCGTCCTCAGCCCAGGGTGGGCGTCCTCTTCCCATCCCGCCGTCCACTCCCAAGTCTAAGCCCTCCAGATCCTCAGAGGCCCCGTGCAAACACCTGACACATCTGGAAGCTGCCAACAACACAGAAAGAAGTTCCCTGGGGGAGAGGAGGGGACACGGGATGACCCAGCCCAGCACTGTGGAAACAGGCACAGATCAAGGAAGGGACGGCCGGTGTCTCCCACACAGGGGAAGAAGGCAGTGGGCAAACACTGGACCCCTGCCCTGGTTGCTTCCCAGGGAAGAACGGGGGTGGGGAAGCAAGGTCACAGGCTTCAGGGTCGGGCCTTTGGGGTTCTCTCTGCGTCTCACACCTACCAGAACCTAGCATCTTCCCTGAGATGCTTGCCAAAGACTCAGACGCCCGGACCCCAGCCCTGGAAATTCTGACCTCACAGTGTGGGGTCTAGGGTGTGACCCAGGTATCTGGACCTGCTCCTGAATGATTCTGAGGCTCCCCAACTCCCCAGGGAAGGGTCCCCCATAATAGCACTGCTGACAAGTGCCACCCACCCCACTGCCTGGGCCTAGAGTCTGGAATGAAAGCTTAAATTCACAGAGGGGCCTAGATTTCAAGGAAGACCTCTGCCTGACCCCGCTCACTGTGAAGCTCCCTTCGTAAAGAGCCAATCTCGTATAACAAGAGTTCACCACGATTTTCTAGGTACAATGGTCCACTCACCCCTGGCCACACACACATACACATCCCCCCTAGGCTTTCGATGCTGTGGTTCCCAGCAACCAGCCCGGTGTGGAAGCAGGTGGAAGGCAGGGCTGGCAAACCCTTGGTAGAAACACAAGCCTCTCCCCAACTTTAGCTCCTCTGGAAAACCTTCCCACTTACAGGCCCAGGACTCGGATGGAAGCTTCTACCTGTGCACTCAGGTGACATCTGGATTCGCACAAAGCCCGTGGGGTTTGCGGTGAGATGTTTTTCAAACTTATCAGACCAGATGCTCCCAGTCCCTACCTCTCCCTGTCTTCCTGCCCACCCCCTCCCCCACCGCCCAACACACACACACACACACACACACACACACACACACACACACACGCGAGGTCGTGGTCGTCCT